AGCGTGAGTTGACCAACCAGATCTAAGAAAAGGAAAGAAGTTGTCTGCATTCTAGTTTTCTGGAATGAGGTCTAAAAATTGTGTCCTCTGCCATTGCAGTGCACCTAGTTCCAACATCTTCCAGTAAATGGACTTCTGGGTTTTAATTCTAAATTCCTGAGAAAAAGAGACTGATTCTGTTTGGGCCCCCATTCAGCCTGGTCCACAAACAAATCCAGAAATTTAGACTATGGACATTGGTAGCATAACTGGGACCCATACTTGTGCATCAAATGTTCCTTTCAGAGACGGAGAAATTGATATGACAAATCTCTTCACCAGAAACACCTAATTCTCTGGAGTTGAAGTTATATTGCATGCAAGTATTGAAGAGGATTATTTTGACGTATGCAATCAATCTTATTCAATGTTACCCCCTCCCCCTCCTACCCCCAGTTTCTGAGGTTGGCCTATGAAGTCTCTAGCATTTTCTTGGGTCGTTGAGGGTAGATATTTGTGTGAAAATCTAGGCTCTTTCAAGTGTAGCTGGGCTGCAAAATTTCAGCTACCATTTAACTTTTATTTAAAGTGAAAATAAAATTTATTTTCTTTATTTTAGTTGGAGCCCATTTGGGCTTCTTCCCAAACCCTCAATCAGTGGTGGGTGAGGGTAGGGGACAGAAATTAATTAAATGTCAGGTCAAGTTGAGAGCTGTCAGACCAAATCATTTAAGCTGTCTTTCTCTGTTGGTGTTCATTCTTCCATTTGGATAAAATACCCAATTTCTTGTGTTTTCTTCTCCTACCCCCACTTGTTCCCCTGAGATGATATACTGGCATGTGGGGAAAACTGAGTGTAATGTGTAGATCCTCGTGTCCTTGGGAATAATTAGGAGTTCTCAGATTCACAGGGTGACCTTGTGTTTCCTTTGACCTTCTCATTGCTAAACCCAGGGTCCCTGATCTCTAGATGCATGCTTGCAATCCTGAGAACAGGCAGAAGTCGGTGAGCCAGTAGTACTTGGGGAGAACCATGAGGAACCTGTATGCAACTCCCCCCATGGACCTGACCTCAGCTCCTCTCTCTCCATCTACAGAACCCTGAGTCCCCACCACGTGCTCAGTCCAGCTCACTGCCTATCTGTCCATTTGAAGTCACTGAAGAGGGGATGCTTTGCCTGGTAACAGCAGTAGCCACACCTTACATAATTAAAGGTGTCCAGTGAAGCTCAGCCCAAGGGCTTCCCTCCCGGTCAAGGACAATGGCCATGTTGATAAGGGCTTTGCTAAGAAAGTTTGAATCAATTCTGGGTTTTTTTGGAGAACAATAATTATGTGGAGAATATCTATGTATCTCCAGAGCCTCTCTATTCCAGGCTTTAAAATTTGCTGGACACTTTCATAAGATAAAATATTGAGGCCAAAGGGAATTTCGATGTGCAGCAATACCACGACTTACAGAATCTCTCTGGCTTCAGTACGTTAGATATGATAGATCAAGTAGAATTCTTCTTTCTACCAGTCAAATTGGATTTGAAAATCTTCAAGGACTAACCTCACCTGGATTTCTGTCCTAATCTGCTGAATGATGGGGATTTTCCAAGGTTGCCCAAGTGCAAACAGAAAAACCCGAATGTTTACAGTTCTCGATGTGGTTTTTAGAGTTACAGGGTCCTTTGTTACTACTACATACATCGAAATAGCGGGGTATTTCCTTTCAGATTAAAACAAGCATGATAATTGACCTTTCTATCAAATCTATTTGTATTAAAGCAATGTAAGTAGTTTTACTTCAAGTCTGGTGCAACTGCTTTGAGAAATAACTCCAAAGATGTTTTTTTTCCAGTGGTACCTCACCAGAGCTCAGGACCTGGATTTGGACTAACATTCTCTTTATTGTTTTTTTGTTTTTAACTGCCTCACCTAGAGAAATGTAAAACGAACTTTCCATATAACTGTTTTTTTTTTTTTAAGGCACTTTTTCTCTTCAGTCTCTGTAAGTTTTACGCCTCCTTAGTAACTAGGAAGGAGAAGTAGTTGCAGAGTATAAATCAACTGAACCTCTTTTTAATACCGCACTGACCTTTCTAGAGGAAGTTCTGAAAGCCCTTTTGCTGCCCTTAAGACTCTTCTCTGGCTAGATCTGACCTTCTTAGAACTCATGGATCCTTATGATTCGGGGGTCCTATGTAGACCATGGGAGCATATCGTGTAAATTATTTCCTGGGGAAAATGCATAGAGGTTTTCAGTGGGATCACAAGCCTGGGTGGTTTCTGCGGTCCCCACGTGTGAATCTGTGGCTTTCAGATCCCTTTCCTTCCTCCCCTGGGGGGTGTGGAGACAGGCTCCATTGAGTGCAGCTGCCTCGCCCCAATAGTTTCACCCATTCACCTGTTCCCCATCCCTGCCACAAAGGATCCTAGAGCATCCTCACCCTTCCCAGGACCAAGGAGGGGATGACAGGAAACAGAATTAACTGTCTTTGGCCAGAATCTACACTTAACTCCATTCAGATTTCTCTCTCTGGTGTTCAGAGAAACGCAGATAATACAACGTATGAGATCCTATGACGGTCATCCCATTAGCTAATAAAATGTATAGAAACTAAACTCACATGCCAAGAGCCACCATGAAAGTCATTACCTTCAATATTTGTATCAACAGCTATATTTAGTGCTTAAAGACACTGGAGCTGTTGTTTTGGGCAGCACACAAACTAAAACTGGTAGGTCAACATGCTTCGTGTGTGGCAGACACACAAAAGGCAGGGTTGCATAGCCCTAAGCCAAGGCAAACATCTGTTCTTTATTTAGGTCCTTTTCTCCAAATCTCATGATCAGTTAAACCATATAATAATTTGCCTCATGGAGATGGAATCCAAGTTGAACTCATCAATTAATAAAAATAAGATATTGCTTAATGTTAAATTTTGGTATATATTGCATGTATATGATAAACTAAATCTTAGTTTAGAATTCTGTTTGGTAGATATTTTATTGATTTTGCTCCTGAAGCTAAGCTTTGTGATTCACTTTAATAGAATTATTGATTCTGTCTCACTCTTTACATATGTATTGTACATTCATTATTTACGTGTATATTTATTTATACATAAATACACAGTCAAATGGAAATATATCTGCCTATGTGTTTTCATGGATAAACAAACACTCTTAAATACCTTGCGCTTGTATTCTAATTTAAAAAAATTATATTCTTTCTTGATACCTATATTGAAATACAGCTTCTATAAAAATGTCGATTTTACTTCTTAAAACATTCATTTAGCTACCAAGAGTCCCTAAAATTCCAATAAATGGTGCCAATACGCACGTGGACAAAACCCAAATTTGCGCTTTTGTTGTTGTTGTTGTTGTTGTTATCATCAACAAACAACTATGAAATAACCCACAGGACTTTCATAGTCAGGCTACAGTGAAGAAACTCACTCTTGGGTCATATGAGAAATCACATGACTGGTGATCCAAACCCACCCGTAGGGCCCAGCTCTGCCATTTTCCTACTCCTTATGTAAGACGGTGGCATCTTCACCCAATGACATTTTGGGTTGTGTGCCTGCGGTGTCTTTAACTTCTTCATTAGCTAAGTTTCGTTTTGTCCTTCAATTTGTTATACAGAATAAATTAGGAGCCTATCAAGAAATCACTAAAGCTTCTGATGAGTCTCCTCCCCCAAGGCTCTTGACGAACAGGTACACAACAGTGAACTTTGGAGCTTCTCTGGTAGAGGCATACTTTATTGTAATGGCAAACAGCTGGCTTACTGAATTCCAGCAAGGGCCACGAGTGCCCTGGAGGGTCACTCACCTCAAGATACTGGGAAGGCTTCAACATTATGGATTTATAAAAGTTCATTTCTGACCCTGTACAAAGTTATGTGACATGCCTTATTTTGTGTTTGTCTTGGGGGTGGAGGTGAAGTCCCTGTGAAGCTAATTAGTATTTTTATCTGTTAATCTGTATCCCAGGTGGAATTACTTATGCAGAACCCCTGAATCAGAATGAAGTTACTCTCTGCTCTTAGACGATTTATTTTTCATTGACTCTATATCCATCTTCCCTCGTTTGCTATCATCTAATTTAGATTAATGATATGCTGATAGGTAAGCCAGGGAAAACACCTCTTTTCCTTCTGGCACCTGAGGAATTGGTCAAGGGCAATGACAGTTGCGAGGAGAGATTTGGGCTTCAGAACCGAGTTCCCATGATTGTCAATCCCCTGGCATTTTGCCCTTGTATCCTAGCAGGTTGTCCCCTTGATCACCAATGCCTTCTCCAAAAGGTGGGACAAGTGTAAGAAGAGCATTTGACACAAGCCAGCCTCTCTCATGAGATGACTCCCAATGAAGGTCATTGTCTAACAGAGAGCCACATCTCGCAGCAATGCAGGCAAACATCACAATGCGTCTTATAAACATACCAAGGTGGCACCACCATTCAGTCCCATCGGAAGAGAGTCTTTATGTTTTCCCTCCTTCTCTAAAATGGGCGATTGCTTTTTTTCCTGCCAAAGTGGCTGAAGTCCTTCAAAGCTGTCAAAGGCATCTTCAAATTTACAATAAAATTCAGCATGACAAATCTTCCAGCAAAATCTCTGGAGCGTCAGAGCAGCACTTAACACAATTCTCCTTTCAGTTAGCATTTTAGTATTCAACACCTTGAGAAGCACGGAAAGCCGATGTGGGCAAGGGAACAAAACACAAACCGAAATAGGGGAGGGAAAAAAGAGAAGAAAAATAAAAAGCCCCACAACAACAAAGACAGTGAAAAACAATGCAAACAGCCACACGAGCTATTAAACATATGCCAAAGTCAACAATCATGGGTGCGGTGCGTGTTCGCCCCGGCTCTGCCCTGCAGGTAGAAGGCACGCAGCGCCAGAGCAAATGGAAGGCAAAGAGAAAGACGAGCAGGAAGTGGAAGAAGGGCTGGGAGCCCGAGCAGAGCTGCCTGGTCCTGAGGCTCAAGACACGCCACCAGCCATGCAAAACAGGACATACCTTTCTGGCTTGCTGGTTCTGTCGGCTGAGACAAAGCAGTCCCATTCACAGCGGGAGGCCAAATCAAAATGAAATTTTATTTAGTCTGCACTGTCCCCAGATTGGGTTTCAGAATGACTGCTTTAGGAGATAGCATGGATGTGGCTGATGCATGCTTTGCATATGAAACTGCAGTAGGAAAAGAAATCTACATAATCAAAAAAATCTGTGCTGTGTGTGTGTGTGTGTGTGTGTGTGACAGAAACACTGGACTCCAGCGAGGGTGCTGCTGCTGGGTAGGCTTCAGGCAGGCCCCTTTGGAGGGGAAATATATTTAAAAAAAAAAAAAAATTCTGAAACACTATTATCAACAAATACTAATCAATCTATAAGACTCCAGTTTATGAACATATGTGCTGCTTCCTGGTTACAATTCTGCCACACGGAAATAATTGCGATTCCTGTATAGTTATGGGTGTCTAAAAAAATTTGTGGCAGAAATCAAATTGAATTTTAAAACACAGGCAGGTTATTGGGTGGGGTGGAGGCATTGTTCTGGCAATTTCTAAGCCCTCTGAGCCTGGATAAAAATAAATTAAAAGCTGAAGTTTTAAGCAAGACTGAAATAAACACGAGAACCCCTTTGACTTTCTTTGGGAAGATAAGTCATTCATATTTAGAGACTGCTTTTAAAAATAGGAAGTCTTTCAAAATGTTCTTTAGACGTTAGAAATTATATTTTAAAATTAAGAAAGGGGACTGTAAAATGTGTCTGGAGCACATGGCATGGAATCTTTGAGTATACGTGTGTGTATGTACACGTGTGTGTGTGTGTGTGTGTATGTGTGTCTTCCCACATGCACACACAACGCACGCTGGCCATGTGTTTACCACAGGGTTTCTGCCTGCATAGGCCACAGATAGGAAGTGGTAAGCAAGGTTCTGTGAAACCAGGGGGCAGAATAGAGCCTGTTGGTAAATATATATTATTTCTCAGAGAAACACTTATCCCAGTTTGTTTTTGATAGATCCGTCCCTCCAGGTTGAGTGCTGCCAATCATCTTTTAAAGAGGAAATGAAAAGGAAAGGTGGGGTATGTGTGTGTGTGTGTGTGCGGGGGGAGAATCCAAAGAAAACTTACCTGTATCAAATGGAAGCCAAAGAAAAGAAAATAAAAAAGGAACAGGCTAGACAGCCTCTCCCAAGCACAGCGCTCTGGGAAACATGGGCAGTCATCCTTCTGTTTCATGAAATATTCCCAAGGAGGAGAGGAATAGGAAATTATTTAAGCTCTACCGAGGTATTCTCCCAGCCACAACCCGCAGCAGCATAAAAACTTCTCACAACAATGAGATACAAACAGCTTAAACCATGTGCTTCACACACACAGCCCCAGCAGAGATCACCAGCAGAGGAACCCTGGACCCTTAGAGGAAACACTCAAGACTAATTCTGTGATTCATGTTTGGACGTCGTTTTCTCAGAACAGCTTTTCCGTGTTCCAACTTGGATTGGCAACCAGTCAATAATAATATTTACCAAGGTAAAGGTCTCCTGAAATTGATAATTTCGCATTAGGTAGCATGGCATTGTGTTGGGCTGTGCACGCCACCAGAATAATTAAAGCCTAAAATCCAAAAGAGCAAATGGAATCTGTTTCCTTTATGCCCCAGAATCACTGCATCCAGGACTCCCTACGATGAGGGACCCCTTCCCAAGACCCTCTTTTGCTTCGCCCTTCCGTTGTAATTATTCAGATATTCATTAAGCAGGAGTTTTCCCTGCGTATTATTTTTAGCGACAGGACAGCCCTTTTCTGAGTAACGGAGAGATGTGACTTCTTAACAAATCCGCTATCCCCCCAAATTCAGTGCACCTGGCATTCACTTTCTACCTAATAAGCATCCGTGAATATGCAAATGTTCAGTGTCTCAGTAACCTCATTAATTTATTCCTCAGGCAATCATAGAATGTGAACCAGTCCTGTGCCACTAGTACTAGGACTGGTGCCGATCAGGGCTCGGAGAATCTGCTGAAAGCTCAGGCTGCATGTTGAAATACTGTTTCATCTTTATTCTGTCCTTTGGCACTCTAATTCAAACAAAGACCCTTACCTTCCCCACTTAGCTGACAGCCCAAAGCAAAACCGACAAAGAAAAAGAAAAATCTGAATGCCTAGGGTTAATAATAAAGATCTTCCCTCCACCGCCAAGGCAGAGGTGATTCATGGTTTGAACAAAATCTCCACAGCAAAACAGTTTTCAAAGTGCCCAAGTTGTCTGATTTTGTTATTTATTGGGGGCTGGGTGGGGGGGTGGCGCAGAGGGCGACCTGCTTTCCATATTGCAATGCAGTTGAATAATCTTTCTCTTTGCCCACGTTAAAAGCCCTGAATAATGTTTATAAAATGTTAGGGAATCCCGGTAGGTTTCCTATTTAACAAGCCATGTATGACAAATCACAGTGTAATGTACTACGTTCTTAATCTTTAATTAGAATGTGAATATCTGCTAGAAAACGCAGTTAACTTTGACACGTTAAATCTTCTGGTTAAAGTGCCTTACAGGAAGAGCAAAGATGAAACACTGTAACAATCTCTCCTTCTCTCCATTCACCCAGACAGTTGGGGAAGGATGATAACATCTTGTAATACCTGCTCTGTAGTAATTAATCGCTGTGGTATTTAGGACCATTCAAGTAGACAAATATGACAGAGACAGGGACAATTAGAAACCTTGTTCAAGCTACATTAACTTTTCTAGCTATTACAACACAGCAGCTCAAGTTTGCTTGTAAAAGCTGCAGAGGGATTGCTATGCATTAGCCGTGCGATTATTAATGAAAGAAAAGGAGAATTGTGTTTATTGTAGTTTGAAAATTGCAAATAAATTTCAATTATCTGCTATGTCATTTTGTTAAACATGCTCTCTGGAAATGCCTTTGTACTCTAAATCATGAGCTACTTAGAGCAAACTAATACCAGAAACCCTGAGGGAGATAGGAAGTCAATATTTTTTGTTGAACTGGACTTTTTTTTCTTTCTTTTCTTTTTTTTTTTTTTTTGGCAAGTGAAATTGGAGATGGGCAAAACCACCTGAATGGGCTATTCAGGTATGGAGCTCTGTGGCATTCTGGCATGTACTCCTCGGTCATGTGTCCCCATAGACATTGAGTCAGCTGTCACCGGCAGACATCAGAGCAATCAGAACCACACTGGTTAAAGGGAACCAAAGAATCTCTCTCTCTCCTTTGGGGACAACCTCAAAACAATTATAAGAAATCAATTATGATAAATAAATAATGTCTGCCATCTCTGCTCCTTCCAATAACAAAGCTAGTTTTGGGGAAAAACAAAACAAAACAACAAAAAAAGAAAACCTATGGGAGGTTCTAGTCAGCTGCAGAGGTGACTGAGAGTCAATGTTTCTGGCGATGGCTCCTGTCTACTGTCTTTCAGGAGAAAAACTGCCAATCACTTTGAATGGCAAACTTGATCTTGAAACGTGCACACACAAGAAGCAGGAATCCACACACCCGTTTCTCTGCTGCCTTTTGTGAAATTATCCATTTTTGAGGGTGTTCACACATTCCCACCCAGTACCAAACCTCCCCTCGGTGCCTGTCACCAAAACCACACCATGAAGCCTCTTTCAAGAGGCAAAGGAGAGGTACACCCCACCACACAGAAAAAGCCCCACATCCAAACTTTCCACCCACCCGGCTGTCTCTCCATCCAGGCCCACCCCATGCCCTGCTTCCTCCCAGTTTATTATTTGATGTTATCCCTCATCAGGAATGGAACATTAAAATAAATAAATAAATAAATAACTCTGGTGCACCCTGGAGCTGGGGACCTGATCCAATTGTCTTCTGTAAATCAAAGAAAGACCAGCTTAGCATGGCACAAATCTGCATCCCCACCCCAGAATCTGTTGTCACACACACACAAAAACCCCGCTCAGTGCTCAGGAACAATCTCCCCTCTCAGCCGAGCTGCGATGATGTCAGCTTTCTGATTACAAACTGCTTATTTATGCTTCAACAGCTGCCAAGAGCAGCGAATAAGTGGCTAAAAGAGTGTCTAGACCAGGCTTTCAGGCCTCTATTGTCTAGGGGTTGTTACCTGGTTGACAGCGATGGGTCCAGCTGCCTGGTGTGAAAGGGAGCAGCGATGGCGAGGCCGTGATTGACAGGAGGGCCCTCCGGGTCAGCCCGATGGCCCCACGTCTTTATATTCCCGGCTCCAAAGGGAAAGCTAGGGCCCTGCCTAGAGGTTGGAGGTGAAAGGAAATGTTGGAGGGTAATGAAAAAATCTTTTGGCCAAATTTGTGATCATGAACGCTTACCCCAGGGAATCAAAGCCAGTCCAAGTGGCCAAGGAGGGGCCAGAAATGCGCACCTGGAGCCGAGGGAGCCAGGCATTTCTGATAAGCCTCTCTGGGGTCTCTGGAGGGGTGGGTGTGGTGGGGGGGGGGTGCATAGGCACAAATAATTCACTTTCTTTTTCTTTTCCAGTGTGTTCTCTGTGGTGAGATAGCCAACCTCGAGCAAATGTCTTTGTGACCACCTTTAAAGTCACCATCCTCAGAGTCCCAGGAGAGTTTCAGAAACCTTCCGTTTTAGAGCTCTCAATGGAAGCCTGACAGGATCTGAAACACTCCAACATTTGGGGAAAAATGGGAGCTTTGCAAGCTGACGTAAATGTCTAATTAGAATTTTCCACCACCACCACTTGCAACCTTTGAATGTCCCTGTCTCATTCGTCCTCAGTCCCAATCTCCATTTTAACACTTTTCAGGGTAGATTTGAATGTACCAAATCGCTGCCTTCATCCCGGTGTCTTACAATTCACAGCAGTTGATTGACACCAAACATTTGTGGCTTCGGTCTGGCTCCTCCCCTCACCCCTATTTTGTGGTTTGGGGTTCTTGAGAAGAATACTGCTCCATACTGATCATCTGCATATGCTAACAAATGAAATCACTTCCTCCATGGAGACCATCCCCTGGACATTGCTGCTCCAACACTTTGCTCCTTCTCGGGAAATGCAGCGTGAGTCTTTAGGGACAATTAATGAAGTACTGCTCCCAGGGGGGCAGCAAGGAAAGCTTGTACTTTTGCATTCTTCATCTTACTTATTATTATTATTATTATTATTATTTGTCTAGGCACCACAAAGGTCATTCACTCCAAATGCTAACTGTAATCTCAGATACAAATCATGTAAATCTGATGAGTCTGTAGCCTTAAAGCTGGTTGCACTTTAAAATAATAATAACAAAGATGAAG